ATTAAAATGTTGTTACCCAGAAGAGTAGTCATAGCTACAGTATTTTGCCAGGTACAATGCACACATTTTTGTCCAAATTTTTGAGGGAAAAATCAGGATGCACATTATACATGGGTAGTACCTGAAATACATTGTGTCTGTTTTTGTGTTTTGTAATTATTTGTTACATAAAATCTCTTGTACCATAATATGTTAAAAAATAAATGCTAAAATTCCTTTACAATACAAAAAACAAGTTATCTAAATAGAAATAAATCAAATATTGAATTAAAAAATTAAAATAAAGGATTGTTGTTCCTGGAAGTGTGAGCCAAAAACATGGGTGCACATTATACATAGCAAACCACAGTAGAGTAGCCAACAGGATATCTTTTATAGATGGTGAGAGACAAAAATTTTTTCTTTCTGAATTAAGCAGCCATATACTCTCTATCAACCAGAATGTATTTCAGTTTTCTATTTTTTATTCATTTTTCTAGTCTCAGTCTCAATTACCCCCACCTTGTGTTTTACATTTCTAGTACCTTTATGTAACTATTCTTAAAGTCATAAATATTTCTCCTCCAAAAACAATATCATATCACATTAATAAACTTAGTCTCTTTTCCCAGAATTGCCTAGATATCCTGCTGCTACTCGTTTATCTTGAAAGCTTAGTCCAGATGAATCCAATTGCAAAAAGAAAATAATTCCACAATTTCAACTTCTGTTCCTCATTGTCCATGACCCATTTCTGTCTTTTATCCAATCCCATGATAATGTCAAATGACTACTTTGGTCATCTGTAATTTAATACTAATCTTACCTGTTTGATTCAAAGTCTCTTTTGGCTTTCTCATTGATATAGCATCAACATCAGTGTGCGCTTAATTCTGAAATTCACTGACTTCATTGTTCAAGCTCTCTTACTTACTGTTTATTAAAATGACCAATTATTTTCATTTGTCTTAATCTGTGTTGACTAATAGTCAAGAGAGTAGGATAGAGAGGTGTCTGTAGGTACTTTCTAAAACATTTAGCCCTGTGGTTCTGCTTTAACAGGAATATGTACCTGTTGCCAAATGCTTTATTTTAATTTAAATAATATGTAATGTGCAATAAGTCAGGCATTTTTCTTTTGTGTTACAGGTTTCTCTTACATTTATTTTTTGCTTTTTTTTTTGCTTTTTTATTGTGGTAAACTATATATAACATGGAATTTACTATCTTAACCATTTTTTCATTTAATCAAAAGTACATTTTTTAACAGTCAATATTATTTGTATTAAATTTCTGGATTTTTTTAAGGAATGTTGAAAACATTCTGCATATTTTACTCTTTGGTCCATGATCTGAGGACAGGGCTGTCTTAACAGCAAAATGTATTCTATATGCAAATAGGATACAATTCATACAGTATCATGTGCTAAAATGAAGTTGATCCACATTTCCCTCTCTCCACCCAGGCCCCCACCTGTACCAGGTGTGGAGAGGGATAGGTACCCAGCCCCCTATCCAGCACCCCCCATCACCTCTTTCTCTATATTAAAGAAAAAAGGAGGTTACTGAAAATACTAGAGCAAACCACATACACCAGCTGAAATAATTAATGCTGCTTTTGGATCAGATTATTTTAATTCAAAATAAATTTTTACTTGTAAAGCCCTTGTATGATTTCCTCAAGGGCAAAGGGAAAAATATCCTGTTGATTTCCTTGAATAAAGAACATTCCAGTGTCTCATTTATTACTTCAGAGTTCATTCTTTTTCAGATTATATTTCACTTAGCATGCAGATTTCTGTAACTTTTCATTACTTTGAATAAAGTAGTAATAGTATACATTTTAAAATACTACCACATACTTGGTCAACTCAGGCTATTAAAATATAATGATGCTATTAAAATACAATAATACAATAGAATAGAATTTCTTTACCCTTAATCACTCATTTGTCTCGTATAATTCTGGAAAATAACTATGTCTGATACATAAATTTTGGACAATTTTACTCTTTTATGCTTCAAATGAAAAAGTCAGATTTAGAGAATTAAATTTTTGGAGGTTTATTTTATAAGTTCTGGCTTGTAAAGTAACAAATTTTTCTTGTAGCAGTTGATAGCCCAATGGAGTCCACATTTTGACTGTTTCTGTTCATTGACTGAACACCATCATCTCTAAAGTAGTTAATGGCAGAGCATGGTGAATTCCATGCTGTTCTCCTTTTATGTCTGATTCTGGCTAAAGGCACCTTCTTGATTTACTATTTATCATCATCAAATGTTCTCTCCCAGAACTGTATATTTTGGGTTGCAGTTCATGTCTGTGAGATTTCTTTACCTCTTTTTATTGTGGTACTCATACATAGCAGAATTTACCAAATTATCGTGTTAGTTTAAACTTATTCACAAAGAGGATGACATTCATTACAGGCTTTTTAAAAGTATTCTCTTCAGAAGAATAAACAGTGAGGGAAAAGAAAAGATAAGCCTTCTGCTTAAAATTCATTTTTCTCTAAGAGCCTAGTGCTCAAGTTTATTATCTCTTTAAAGTTGCCAAGACAAGCATCTCATCTTTCTGTTATTAATGAAAGGTAATCCAAGGCCTCAATAGGGCAGATGATTGAAATGTGTCAAGAATTATTTTTGATAATTCTAGCGAAAAACTAATTAAATATTCTCTTAATTTATGTTTCCAAATCAGATTATTTCATTATTTGACTAGTGTCCATTACCTTTATTATAATCAACTTTAAATTTGTATCAATGAATATTTACTAGCAGGTATAATGTCAATAAATGCATAAATTTTTAAAAAGCATTAAATAAATAACTCTGTAAGCATTCAGTTTTATGTGATGATTATCTGGGCTAATTTACCCACAATTGTGTTATAATTAAGTTACTGCTTTAATTTCCAGGGCTTACAATAATTGACTATGTCCTTAAAAATGAGAAATTTAAAATTACTTTGTTATATTTTTCACTTATTATACTATGAGCATTTCTCGTGCAATTTTTTTGAAAAGGCCCTAAAATCCAAATTTTGATTGCTATATATATAATCTTTTCTATCCTATAATTTATTGGATAGTTCCCTTTCTGTTAGATAATATTATGATAATTACTGGATTTTTACATTTTTATTAACTGGTAAAAATGGTGTAAATTTTAAAGAATATGTAATATGTTTTAAAATTGCTATTACATTTTTACATGTAAAATATATATGTAGTATGTATATACACATTTGCTAAGTGCTAGCAATATATATGCTTATTTGTCTCATCAAATCCTCACCAGTACTCAACATTATTAATTTGCTAATGTAATAGGCAACAGTAGTTTCTTGTTATTATTTATACTGAATTTTTCACTTCCAATAAAATTAATTTTTTGGCATAAGTCTATTTACTATTCATAGTTATTCTGTAAATTGTCCTTATCCATCCCCCAGTTGTCTACTAGGATTATGTTTCTTTGAAATTGGAGGAACTTGTAATATACTGAAGATATATTACCCATTTACTGCAGATAGTTTGCCAATGTGGCATTTGTGCTGAAATTTGAAGGTTTTATGTAGTTGGATCAATTGATCTTCTGTGTATTTTTTAATTAAGAAAATCTTTTTTACACTCTAAGGTAGTATATGCCTCGATTTTATTCTATTTCATAATGATAGTTTCATCTTTTTAAAATTAAAATCTTTTTTATCTATCTAGAATTTATATTTGTGTATATTATAAGAGTCAGCCCAAGGAATCTCTCTTATTTGTTGAATAACTCATGAAATACTCATTGATTTTTTAATTTACTTTTTCATATTTTGTTGCTACATGTACTTGAGTTTACTTCAAAACTGTTGACTACAGCTCATTCATCTTTTGAGTCTTAAATCATTATCCTCTAATTTGATTAAATTTTATAATATATTTGAAAAACCACTACAGTATTTTCATGTCTTCTAATATTTTCCTAGCTTTTATAAGTGTATTCTCTCAGATAAAATTAGGCTACTGTTTTTTTTTAATTTCCTCAAAACATACAATTAGCTTTTGATTGAAATTGAGTTAAACCTGTATGTTTGTTTGGAGAGAACTGAACGCTTAAAGTTTTTATAAAATTTGGTCTTCTTAACGAGGAATGTGTATCAGCCTGTGAAAAGTCTTACCATTTTTTAATTATATTATTTTTGTTGCTATTGTGAACAGTTTCTTTGTCATTATGTCTACTGGAGTCATGCTGCTATATAGAAAAGATAATGTGTATAAACATGCTGTACAGTCTGTCTTGTTAGAACCCCATTGTATTAATGGCGGGAGCACTCATGAGTAATGCACGTACCAGACAACTGAATAATGTTTTATTCCTTTCAGTTTAATATTTTTCTAGGTAAATGTTATTTTTAATATATAAATATCATGCTTTGTAAGGAAAGTAGCTCAGTGCGATTACAACAGTAGGAATAACATGGTAATATTTTGAGTCTCTGTTTTATGAAAGTCTACATTATGACTTTGAGGCTCATTTCACATTAAATAATTTAACTACATAAAACACTCTTATTTCTGTGATATTATCAAAATAGAATAAAAAATTATTGAAATATTTTGGCCTTTGGGTTTTTTTCATTTATGACAGTAGAATAAGCTACACTAGTGGATTCTTCAGCATATTTTCCTAATAAACTAGGAACTTAATAATATGCAAATAAAGCTTAACATGATTTAACATCTATCCAGAATGTTCCCGACAAAGACCTGTAAAGCTATTCATTAGCAAACTGTTTTTGTCACACAGTGATGTTAAAATATCTTTAAAACTCTTAGCAATTGAAATATTAGTTATTAAACCAGAAGTTTATTACTTCATGTATGTTCATTTATTCATGATGGCTATATAATACATTACTATTAAAACATACATCTCAAAAACCTAATTATTCTTTAAAAGAAAGAGTACAAATATTTGCCATGTAAAATAAGTATCATTTAATGTACTGTAATTATTATTTTATCTTACAGCTCATGGGGCATTCAGAATGGGACCACAAACGAGGTCCAAGAGGATCACAAGTAAGTTTTCCCTTTTCTTCCTTTCTTGCATTTTGTTTCTTAACACTTTGAGCCATGAGATTTCTAAAACTCAAGGAATAATAAGAAGTAGAAAGAGGAAGAGACAAAATAATCATGCCATTTGTTTTTACTTAAGTTAGCTATAATTAAAGTCTGGTTTCAAATCCCAAAGGCAGAGGCCAGTATATTCCTCCTAAGAGCTTTCTGGTATCCCAGATTGGCTGTGTTTTTGTGAACGCAGATTTTATATTCATCTTGTCTCTGCTGAATACATTTTGATCAGCGACTCACTCTCTCATTTTTATTTACTTCCTTTGATAATTTTTTCTATGTATTTTCTTCTTTTCTCTATCTTCCTGTTTTTGGTTAAATATTTTGAAATATAATCAGACTAAACCCTAAACTAATTACAGATTTTGTCTCTAAATTAACTGTCTTCGTCTTAGGGAAATAGAAAGATGAAAGGACCTATTATTTTGAAAAGAAACAAATTCTAAACCTTTCTATATTACCAGACTGTTTTCATTGTCTTACTTTATGTCTTAGGCAAGGAGAAAAGCTTCCATGACGCATTTATGCTTTTTAATGACCTAATTAGACAATGTGGATTTGTTTTGTTTCCATAATTACTTTGCCTGACAGAATAAAGGCTGAGTTTTGCCCTAAGAAAATTATCTCCCCTCCTAGGTATATTGTGAAGAAATATAAAAATCATTTATTTCATAGCAGTCTGACTATAAACATGCCAAATGAAAATTAAGTAGGTGGGACATTTTTACCTCTGCTTCTCACATTTTGCACTTGCCGCCAAAAAAATATGGTTACAAGAGAGTTGAATGTGCAACACTGTATCAGAACATTCATTCTGGAATGTGAGATTCCCCTAAGCGTTTTACAGAGTGGATGAAGACGTCTGCAGGGTGCATGGTTAACTATTTAATTTAGGTCACTGGGAAAAGAAAACCAAATCAATCGACTATTTCTAGTTGATGTTTTTAATAGCTGTGATTTTATTTTTGTCCATTATCAATTTGGTTAGTAAATAATATAAACTGTCCTATTAAATTAGGATAACCTGAAAGAATTTATGCCTTGCTTTCCCTACCATTTGCTTCTCCTCTTCGTGTTCCCTGACAACTCTCCATCTATACGTATCAGTAATATTTTAAATCAGAATTTGCTGCGGAGTCATTAATGAAATGATGAAATTAATGTATGTTAAGTGCTTTGTGATTCTACACCAATAAAAAGTAAAGATGAGCACAAGTAAAAAATTCCATGGTTTCTGATTATTGCCACTAGAGGCATTTTGATATTCAAAATATGTTAAGTAACTTGCTGAGGACATGTCCCTTCAAAATAATGTCATATTACATTAAAAGTTGTTTAAAATATTTAATATTCACCCTTGTTATGACTTATGACCTATTTGAATATAATTATCTTCAGGTTTGAATTGGTCACTCTGTCAATATAAATTGAAAAAAATTGTTATAAAAGCACAACAGTTTGTGTTAACTTTAAACATAAAAACCCCAGAGTGAATTTTAAAAATTCAACGTATTTTATACATAACTATAAAACTTCAGAACTCTACATACACACACAAAATATGTTCATAAATGACATCTTGTTGTATTTGAAAGGTTGAGGTGGTTCTAAATAGCAGAAGCATTAGAACATTCTTCCGTGAATTACTGTTATCAGCATCAAGGTCTTTCTTAGACCTCTCAATTAGCTAAATAAGTATCCCAAATGTAGTGCACCTTTTTCGCACTTTGATTCACCTCACGAAAAAGAATCATCAAGGTAAAAAGCAAAACACACACCACAAAATAGAAACATAACAACTACAACAGAAAACTATGGGGGAGGGGAGCGCATTTCTGATAAATTAAGGATTAAGTAATAACCTCAGCTAATTCTAATTTCCATTGTGTGTATGTTTTAGATCGTTCATACTTTTTTATCTTGCTGTTATTTCCTTGGACCATATGTCTAAAGCCTTTTAGCCACTCAAAAGGAATTTCAGACAGACTGCACTTGAACAGAGATCTCTTAATATTTTACTACTATCCAAAAGCCTTGCTCAAATTCCATCTCAGTGTCCATTCAGTGAACACAGATTTTAAGTGCTGACTCTGTGTAGAGCACTGTTGTGGGTCTGACTGAAGCAAAACCGAATGACAAGGTTACTGCTTTCCAAGAGCTCGCAAGCTATGCTTGGAAACAGAACAATCCTTAACTACAGGGTGGGGCAAAAGTAGGTTTACAGTTGGGAGTACACGAAACAGTGTTTATTCTTGTATTATTATTTATTAATTATTGGATTATTTTATATGCAACAACTGCAACTCTTTTGCCCACCCTGTACATAATTTACAGGGTAGATATAATATTAAATATATAAACAAACTGTGATAGAAGTTTAGGTGGGACAGAGTATTTATTCCTAGTAGAACTGGGAAATACTGCCTAAAGTTGATGGTACCTGAAGTGGGCCTTCAAGGGTGGGTAAGGTTCTAGAAGTACAGAAAGAGGGACAGATGGATGGAAAAGCTTACGTGAAAGTCTGTTAGTTGGGATGTGTGTGAATTTTCTCTCTAACTGCTTTATAAACACTTATTGACTGATTAAGCAACTACTGTGAAGGAATCATCCAGGGAATGCCATACCTTGTTGACCAGACATGAGGAGGAAGTAAGGAGGGTCCAAAACTTGAAACCCAGTACCTGAAGGAGTAGCGTTGCTAATACACATTAGTTTACAGGGAACGTGATGCATTAAGTGAAGCAATGTTAAGTGAGGCTTGAAGACGACAATCCCAAAGAGAATTTCAGGTTCTGTCCTGGTGCTCTGTAGCCAAATTAGAGCAGAAGGTGTCTATTTGGGACTGCTAATCACGAATGTGATAATTGAACTACATTGGTGGATAACCCCGGAAGAAGAACATACAGACGGAACAACAGAGGAAAGAGCCCGGGCAGAGAGTTGAAGCGCGCAGGCGGTCTCGCTGGAGGCCGGTGGGAGAACTGATGCGTAATCAGAGGTGGTGTACCGTGAAGTTATGCCAAGAGGAAGGCTGAGACCACACACAAAGTTTCAAGAAAAGAAAAAAAAAAAGGGAAGTGCTTTTGGATTTAGTGATTAGCAGGCTATTAGTGAGCTTTGAGAATGAGGTTTTGATGAAGAAGTACTGGAAATTAAGAAGACAATAGTGTAAGGTAGTATTGAATAGAAAGATCTCTTGGGAGAGTTTTGTTTGAAAAGAAAGGTGGGATTCAGGAAGAGGGGGTAGATGTGAATGGAATGTCTTTAATGCTAATGTGAGAATATTAAGAATTAGTTAGAAAAGAAAACACTGGAAATTCGTAATAGTGACCTGTTTCGGGACAGAAAATAGTGGGGTTCAGGTAAAGGAATGCGTTCTCTTCCAAAGTGGCCCTTTTGGCACAGGGTTAGGGGTTTTCTCACGCCCCACCAGTCTCCGCCCCAAACCCCACCATTCCCCATAGTTCAGAAAAACTGGCCATGTATTCAGATGAACTACTGGTAGATCCACCAAAAGGCACACATGAAGACCCTTTGGAAAGGAAGTAGAGATGGCTGTACAAGAAAAAGAGAGAATGGGCACAGATATTACCAAATGAAAGGAAAACTGTGAGCCTAATAACTTCAGTTTTCTTGGCAGAAAAGGGGTGCATAAAGTTGAGGATATAATAGTGGAAAATGCTGAAAAGTAGAAAATATATGGAGTAAACATTGTTTTAAACATCTGAGAAAGAGGACTGGCTTGATGTCTGATCACCAAGAAACACCTAGCAGAAAGCTGTCGCAGATGTGAAGGGGTTAACTGCAGGACAAACATTAACCTTTTACATTGATTCAAAAAACACCAATATATGTTGGAGATTTTTAAGCCTCTGAGGACTCAAAAATGAACTCAATGATTTTGGCCTTCAAAAGCAGATAGCTTTATCCAGTCAGCCTTAGTTCAGAGGATAAAGAAAAAAATAAGCTAGTATTGAGGACATTAATCATTACCAGGGTAGAATAAGCTTCTCCTGGGTTTCCCTGTACGTGCTTACTAAATGAGAGATTTTCTCAAATTGACCTAATCCTGCTAAATTATATCATATGTGCATTTTTCACAGAGGGTAAGAAGGTATAGTTTTTCATATCAGGGTTTCTGATGTAGAAAAATACACATTTTGCTGGAAGTAAATTCTAACATTTAATCGCAATACGACTTTATCCTCAGCAAGAGTTTAATTCAAATTGATTTATTTACTCTATTCTCAATAACTTTGTGGCATAATTTGTCAGCTCACTCACATCTTGGGGGCTGATTTTTCTTCTTCTTTTTTTAAGTATGTTCTCTCAAGTAGTCGATCATCCAAATTAGGGAAGATGCTAAAGGATAAATAAACTTGAGCAGCATGCAGAGCTCCTTCGCCTGGCAGCATTCCCGGCAATACCAAGTGAAGTCAGGGGACGCAATTCTCAGAAGGCAATTAGTTGTTTTTTTTTTTTTCTTCCTTTTAAATTCTTGGGGAAAAGTTTTCCAGTGGGAAGTTAGGAGAGGCAGTAGAAAATTGCTCTCCTTTGAAAAGCTAAAAGTACTAGGAGGGTGGATGATTCTAAGGAGCCAGTAATTTCCTTATAACTTAGTTGAGGGTCTTTGTGGGAAAAGATGACTTCACTTGGTAAATTTCTAACTTCCTAACATTTTATGTGCTAGGGACCAGCTGGCCCTTATTTATCAATAGTTAGAGATTAGTAGGTTCTTTAGTCAGGTTTATCAACTGGACTCAAGACCTTTCATTAACGAAACAACTTTTTGTGTGATCTCTGGAGTCTTCAAGTGATTGAGGTATTCCTGACAGTGAAAGTCTTGTTTGTATGTGTCTAAGTAATTGAAGTTTTGCACATACAATAGAAAAAAGTAGCTGAATATTCTGGTGGGGAAAAAAGTTGTTATATACATTAGGCTGTCAGGA